GGGCTCCGGGAGAGCAGCCAATGTTCTTAAACATCTCCCCAGCCCATGGATGTTCTGCAGAGTTGAAGACTCAAGAGAGAAAAACATCAGAAAGTATCCACATGAGGTGAGCCTGGCAAAGGGGCCAGCAGGAAGTCAGGAAAGAGAAGGAGGAGGAGCCCCCAGGCACAGCCTCGCTACACCAGCTGAGCCGATTTGAGGCTCATCTACATACGCCAGTAGGCGCTAGGAGAGGTGGGGGTGCGCAGTGGCCAGTTGGAGAGCTTGTTTTTGTTCTGAACTATGTTCTGCTGTCTGCAGAGAACTCCTGCAAGAAGACAACCAAGAAGATTCTGCCCCGAAGCTCCTGGCCTCAGCTCTGGGGTTCTGGGTTCCACGAGTGAGGCTGCTCTCCGTGGATTTGAAAGCACGCACAGGCTCCACAAGGACAGACTTTTCAAAGTATACGTTTCCCATCCAAACAATGTCGCCCTTCAAAGTCGTCCTGACAAACAAACCACAGCTGTTATTGTTCAAACCATCTGTACCAAGGAAGGAAAACACACAAGAAAAAGTCAGACTAATAGGAATGAAAACACATAATTTCAGACTTGAGTAGTCTACCTCCTGCATCATCCGTCACCATCCCAGTGGCTTTGTATGGCCATGAGGGACAATGACGGAGTTCAACAATGCTCGCAAAGAACGTGTCCTGTCTTTAAAGATCGTCTCCAGAGAAATGCGCTAGTTATTCTGAGCAATGCAGCATCCTCAGAACACATCCTAGGCTTTTAAAGTGGTTTCGTTGAAGGTGAAGCACTTTGGAAGGTTTGGATTATGTAAAAAAAAAAAAAAAAAAAAAAACTTAGTCGCCGATTCTCTAACTCTGCTTACGTGTGCAAGAGTGGGCAGGGGTGAAGGAGATTAGGGAAGGAAGTCCTTGCTGTTTTGAATCTGTCCTCAAGGGAGGAGGGGAGTGATGATGAGAAAAGGTAAATGCTCTCCTACCTCCTGGGTCCTGGGTGCTCCCTATCCATGCAAGGAAGAAAGAGTGGATTGTGGGAAGGGCAAAGTCTGCCTTTCCCAAGAGGTCTGCCCACTGGAGAAGCCAATCAATCAGAAGAAACCCTGCTCCATTTTGAAGAGGCATTGTGAGTTTAGAAGGAAGAAGGAAAAGGTGTTATTAAGGTAAAGCTGTGGCTGGGCTTGGTGACACAGGCCTGTGATAGCAGCACCTGGGGGAAGGGGACAGAGCTTGTGAGCTTGAGGCCAGCCTCGGCTACCCAGATGATCCTGTCTCAAAAAAAAAAAAAAATCACAAAAACAACCCAATAAACTGAAAACAACCGGCTGTTGCTCTGCCGTTCTTGCCATAGGGCACCAGGCCACTCAGAATTTGAGGCAGTCGGGCAGAATGAGGGTATTAGTAAAATCAGGGCCCGGAACAAGTGAAGGCTGGTCAAATTCTCCTGCTAGCCTGTCTCAGGGCGCTTCTGTTTTAACAGATACAGAATCAGAGACTTCAAGAACAATCTAGACTTTGGAGCTTGGGCCTTGCCCTGCATAGCCCACTCATGATCAGGAGTGCTTCTCTTTCTAATAAATGGTCTCTGTTTCCTTTACTGTGTTAACATTGAAAAACAAATCTCGTTCTATTTGGGAGCAGATAGGAAACTAGGGTAAGTACCTAGCACAGTGTCATGTTGGTTTATGCACCTTACCACATGCTGGGCATTGTCCGCTTTGTCCGCGTCTCAGGGGCTGAACATTCCCACATGACCCACGGCATCATCTAGACTTTAATCTAAGCAAGCTGGATATACTATGCACTGTGTGTATTTGGGGGTCTGGTTTCTAAATAGATCATTGCTAGATGGTTCCTCAAAGGAACACTACTAACAGCAGCACCATCTCCCTGTGCCACCTCCTCTAACCCTCTGCACTTCGGTTGCGTTAACTCACAGATGCATGCTCTCTTAGGCGTGCACACGGGCCCATGAGGTCAAACTTGTGTGGGTTCAGAAACTGCACTGCTCTTTCCTAAACCTGCGCCAGACTGTTGCTCTTCCTAGCATTGATTAAAGATTTGTCTGTTTGTTTTTAATCAAAGGGCCTCAACATCTCTAAGGGTCTTTCTCACAGAGAATGTAGCACGTGACCACCTAGGTTTATTCACCTAAGCATCTGCAGTTCAAATGCTTATGTGAACACAGCCAGACCTAATACTACATGGTAAATTCTTCCTGCAACTCCTTTTTCCTGTTTGGTGAGACTACAATTCTTTCCATTATTCTTTTCATGACTGGTCTGATGGATTTGAGGACTATGACATGTCCTCTGGCCTAGCTAACTATCTTAGTCTCTGTCCTTTGCTGTGAAAAGACACCATGGCCACACCAACTCGTTTTTTAAAATATAGCTTATTTATTTTTATTTTATTTGCATGTATGTGTGAGGGTATCAGATCTTGGGGTTACTGACAGTTGTGAGCTGCCATGTGGGTGCTGGGAATTGAACCCAGGTCCTCTGGGAGAGCAGCCAGTACCTTTAACTGCTGAGTCATTTCTCTAACCCCCATTGCAGCTCTTATAAGGAAAACATTTAACTGGGGTTGGCTCACAGTTTTAGAGGTTTAGTCCATTGTCATCATGGTGGGGAGCATGGTGACATGCAGACAGTCGTGTTGTTGAAAACGTAGTTGAGAGTTTTACAACCAAATCCCCAGTCAGCAGGGAGAGAAAGAGCCACTGGGTCTGTCTTGGGCTTTTAAAACCCCCAAAGCTACCCCCAGTGACGCCCTGTCTCGAACAAGGCCACACCTCCCAATCCTTTTAAGCAGTGCATTCAAATACATAAGTCTACGGAGGGGGGGACATTCTTATTTAAACTATTATACTAGTCTTATGTCAACTTGACACAAACTAGGGCCATTTAGGAAGAAGGACTCTCAGCTGAAAAAAATGCTTCCTTCATTAAGATTGGCTTGTAGAGGGGCTCGATGGCTCAATAGTTGAGAGCATTGGCTGCCCTTCCAGAGGTCCTGAGTTCAGTTCCCAGAGCCCATGTGGTGGCTCACAGCCATCTGTAACTATAGTCCCGTGGGATCTGAAGCCCTCTTCTGGTGTGCAGGAAAAAAAACACCCATATGCATGAAATAATGAATAACTGAGTGTGGTGGTGTGTGTCTTTAATCCCAGCCCCCAGGAGGCAGAGCAGGCAGATCTCAGTGAGTTCAAGGCCACCCTGGTCTATGCTCCAGGCCAGCCAGAGCTATCTAGTGAGACATTGTGATGGGATGTGAGGGGCGTGGGTGGGAGGTTGACCCGTAGGCAAGTCTGTAGTACATTTCCCTAGCGACTGATGTAGGAGGGCCCATCCCAGTTGGGGTGGTGTTATGCCTGGGCTGGTGGTCCTGTGGGTATATGAGAAAGCAGAGAGAACAAACCAGGAAGAACAAACCAGTGAGCAGCACACCTCCATGGCCTCTGCATCAGCTCCTGCCATGTTTGAGCTCCTGCCCTGCCCTCCCTTGGTGATGGACTATGATGTTGAATGCTAAGATGTAAGAACCTCTTTTCTTCCCAAGTTGCTTTCTGTCATGGTGTTCACCACAGCAATAGCAACCTCACTATAGCAGCTGGGTAGAACTTTTATAAGGTGTCCAATCTTGCACTACAAAGAAAGGGAGCTTGTTGCTGAGATCAGCTAACCAATGTCTGTTGTGCTATATAGTTGACTACGGCATGAAGACACTCTACTGAAAAGACAAAGATTTCAGAGTTGGCCTCACCTCAGATGTTCGTATCTAATTCACAGACATCTGTGTCTCCCTGAGAAGTAACTTTTTTTTTTTTTAAACAACCAGAACTGTTCAACAGAGAGATAAGCCAGCTCCTAGGAGTGGTGTGGGGTGGGGAAAGGACACGGAACTCCCTGTCATTGGAAGAAGCGAAGGAGCAAGTTGTGGGTATGTTCAAAGTGGGAACTGGTAGGGGATGTGGTTTGCAGCACCAAGCACTGAGCCACAGGGCTCAGGCCAGGTCGTGTCGTCAAGCTGCTGACAAACAAGTCTGAGTGGCTCCTGGGTCTGACTAGACAGAAAGATGCTGCTGTTCCCACAGTGTCTAGAATCACGATTCGGTCATCATCAAGCCAGCTCTCCACCTCTACCCTCTCGACCTCCTGCTAAGCGTGCCAGGAAACCCCAGGTCTCAAGGTACGAAGCTTAGCACGTAGGTGAGGGGCACAGCCTGGGGAAGTGTGCGGCTGGCTGCCTGGCACAGCATCTCTGGGCCCGTGTGTGTGCTCAGCACTTGGTGTAGCCTGTGTGATGGCTGTACTGTAACCACAGAGGAAGTCAGCGCAGGAAGTGTCCCAGCTGTGGCTTATTAGCATTAGGACAAAATTACACAAAGCAAATTGTTAGCAGACATGTTGCCATAATCTTTAACTGGTGGCAATAAATAGGAGTGATCCTCTTTCAAGTAAATACTAGATTTCCCAAAACCCAGCTTCCAATTGTCCGTGAAGGAATCATGTGGGATGAGGCTAAATCTCGGAGGGGAAGACACGGAGGGGGCTGGGGCTCCAGCATCCATGCCCGGGAGTGGGGCTGCTGGACAGCTGTTGTTGACTTGGCAGGATGGAAGCAGGGATGTTTGTGCCCCTGGACATCTGACCATCTGCTGGATTTCCCTCAGGGGTTCCCAGTCTGGTTCTCTTATGGAACTGAGAATAAAGTCACTTAGCAACACAGCAGGAAAACTCTTAGTGTGTTTCTGTCTCTCATACACACACACAAAAGGCAGAGTTGGGTTTTTTTGGTTTTGTTTTTTTGGCACCCCTGTTCTTAACAAGATGTTGCAATTGCAATTAAAAAAAAAAAATCTACCCCTTCACAGTCCATGTCTTTATCTCTGATTTAAACAACACTGTGAGCCTGGCCCCGCTGGGGAAGTGGGAAGCCATAAGAGCTCACATCCCATAGCTTATGTGTAGGAAGACCTCTCTGTTCTCCGGGGGTGAGAGCAGAACGTCCTTCGGGACTTTCTGATGATGACAATGTTCAAATAGAACTTTGGGTGTTTCCAATTTTCTTCAAAGATTCAACAAAACTTTCCTAAAAGAATCTGTTGTGTTGTTTTTTTTTTTTTAATTTAAGCAGTTTCAATGTTAAGAAGTATTCTGTAACAGCATGCAGATATGAAAAAACAGGTTCTGGCCCAGTAATGGGCAGGGTTGTCACCACAATTTTTATTGTTTTCCTACCAAACGTTTACTTTTGTGTGTTCTGGTTGCTTCTCAAACTCTCAGCCCAGCATCTCTTCCCAAGTTATTAATTTGAACACAGTTTTATCTGAGGAGTCCAGCATCTCTTCCCAAGTTATTCATTTGAACACAGTTTTATCTGAGGAGTCCTCTGTTCCTTTATTTCTACTGAAAGAGAAAAGACATTGACACTTCTGTTGAAAAGAGAGAGCAGGCCCGAGCCTTTCCTGGTAGACATGATTGAGACCTTAGGCAGCTGCTCTCGGCCTGCAGCTCCCCAGGGTGCCCTCTCCTCGGGCATCCAGGTCCTCAGGGTTGGCATGGCATGTCAGCCACGTGAGAGGAACAAGTCCAGAAACCAGACTTGTTCTGGTCATCTGGCTGTCCACAGGACAGGCCCTGCTACAGTAAGAGGAAACACCTAGTAACAGCCAGGAGGAGGGCTAAACTGGGCTTCGTCTCCACATGACAAAGCTGGAAAGATATTTAAGAACATGGTACACTGCCAGCCACTTCCTTAGACTTTCCAGCTCCAGCATCAAGAGCACGCGCACACACACACACACACACACACACACACACACACACACCATGTCTTTTATCTAAAATCTTCACAAAGGGAATAATGTGTTTCATAAAACATTTAAAATGCTTTAGGCAACAGAAGTATCTCTTGATTTTTTTTTTCTCCAAGTGTTTAACAGACAAATGTAATTGGAGATGTTTGGAGCATGCGCACTCTTTAATTTGGAGTTATGCAAAATTTGACCATTATTCACCACAACCTGCAGCAAAGCTATGCAGACGGAACAGCAAGTGTGCTATCTGTCAAATGTGAGTTCAAGTCCTTCCCATCTGGGCCAGAAGTGACCGCCACAGCCTGACCTTTAAGGTCTGCTTAGAGGAAATGGCCTGGAATGTTTTACATTTGAGAAGCTATTTAGCTGCCCTGTTTGACAAGGTTTTCGAGAGGGATGAAAATTAATTATGATTGCAGCATTGCTACAATGATGTGGTCAGCTAATTAGATTCCATGCAAAAACAGGCAAGAAGAATTGGTTCCACTGGTTCTTCTGCAGCCTTGCAGCCTTCATGCCAAGAATAATGAAACTGCTTCTTGGTTTCTTCATTTCTAAAAATCTTGGCCAAACCTTAAATGTCTGGGATTCTGCAGTCGAGCTAATTTAAGGCTTCGTGTGAACTAAGACAGCACCTGACTGGGAGTCCCTGTGTGGGGACACAGCTCCAGTCCCCAGGTAGACTTGAACCAGGTCCTAACTCTCCTTCAAAAGCTCCTTGAGGTTTCTTTGACTCGTTTGGGCATATGTTAACTTTGGGGACACCAGGGAGCCACTGGTAAGGGTAAGCAGGACATGTGGGAAGCTTACATGTCCCTGGGAGAGGTACCAGGAGTCTACAGGGAGAGGTACCAGGAGTCTACAGGGACAGGGCACAAATGGTTGAGCTGAGCGATTTTTCCAGATCTCCCTGCCTTCACACAGCAGCGATTCTGTCGATAGGAATGATCTGCCGCTCATTGAGGCGAGGACCTAACGTCAGAGCAGCGGCAAGCACCTAGTGCTAGCGATCGGTTCGCAAGGGAGTCTGCTCATTGCTTCTAACATCTTAAAGATTCTCCCCAAGGTCTGATTCAAGGTCATTTTGTCACATACTAAAAATAACAGACATCCAGCGCCTCCGAAACCTGATCAAGTTTCCATTCAGTGGGAAGTTCTGGGACAATCTTCTTCTCAGTCATAATTCAAGTCCAACCACCGCTGTATATGCAGCAATGCTCTTGCAGTGACCTGCCACACTTCCTCAAACAGGGACCATCAAAGTGGGCCCCGTAGCACAGCAGGGAATCTTTCCTGTGGTCTTCGCCTACATGCTAGCTGATCCATACATAGGTGGCTCCATCCAAGAAGCTATACCTACCTTGTTCTGGAGCAGGACACCGGGCTGAGAGCTGAGGGCTCAAAGCCCCTCCAGGTCCTTTGCCAGCTGAGACCTCGCTTAGGCTGCAACCCACGGGGAGATGCCTTTTCCAATTCACACTGTGGCCGTGGCAGACCCCACGTTACTCTTGACCCCCACCCTCCCCAGATCCACCTTTAAGAAAAAGGATGTGCCCTGGAGTTCTCTAGTCTAAATAAACAAAAGAAAAAGAAAGGACGTGACAAAGAATAGCAGCAAAGAGGTCACCCTTCTGCCCAGTAAACCGTGGCTCCATCCCTCTCTGGACACAGCTGCAAAGGGTAGAAAATCAATTTTTTTTTCTCATTATTTCACAGCGAAGAAGTGAAAACCTATTTGTAAATTGAATTAAGCCCAATAAAAACACGTCTGTGTATTTGTTGAAGTCTAGAAAAAATTAGCCACAGACTCAGCTACAGAATGCAACCACGTAACCTGAAATCAGGGCTCTCCTATTTCACGCGTTCTTGAGACAGTTTTCTTTCCCTTCTTTTTCTTCAAGAAGTACCCATAGTGAAATGTCACCGAGATTCTTCCGCATGCCACCATCTCAGCCCTCAGCAAGAGTCTGGGAAGGAAGGGGCTTTCAAATCTTTGTTTAGGCAGACAGTTGTGTCCAAATTCGTACCTCGTCAGTCAGTCAGTAGTGAATCTGGAACTCTCCAGATCACACTTCCTTCTCAAGTGGCAATCTGGGGTGCTGACTATGGAATTGGTCCCCTTTCCATGTGCAGGCCAGGTCTTGATACAGAAGCCCTAACCCAGCCATTGAGTTTGAACGGGCAGGCCACCGCCGTCTGCCTGCTGAAATCTCGTTAGTAGTCTGCCCTCTGGTGGAGCAATGAAGGACTTCAGTAGCTGGGACTAGAAAACATCTTTTCCTCACTTTGAGCAAAAAACTTCAAGCTTTCCAGATAGTGCAAGGCGAGGCAGTCACCTCGGGGGGCAGTCACCCCAGAGCTGACTCCAGTGAGGCTCCTGCTGGTTGGTCCCCAGAACAGAGAGAGGTTGCTCCTGCCATGAGCCACACCACAGCACCTCCAAGGACAAGGTCCTTCTCACACTTTGAGGGCCCCCTCGGGGATACACCGTGGGTGACAGCGTTCAGTTATCCACTCTGTCGCGACACAAATAGCACCTATAAAGAGTGACCAGCATGTCAGGAACACTAAATGTAATTGGCTTTTTGTGATTTTTTTTTCTGGCAAATCAATAATACAGTTGAGCCTTTGAAAGGAGCCATCTGGGATGTTAGAAAAGGCAAAGACACACACATTTTATAAAAAAGACGAAGTCTCTGTGGATGTTGCTTTTGAGAAGACGTTGTGACATTGGCTGGGTGCAGATCAGGCAGGAGATAATGCTGAGGTCTGGGACTCTGCTTCCGACTCCACGAACTTCAGAACTTAGCTTGCTTCAGCTTCTCGATGTGATAGCAGAGTTTGAGAGCGGGTCCCAGCTTCAGTCCCAGGTATTTCATGACCATGTCACTCCTCAGCAACAGCAAGGCATGGCCATCAATCTCCTGGGGGGACGGGGTGGGGAAAGAAAACCCAGAGGCAGTTAGAGCAGCCAAGTGGCAGCTGTGGTCAAGCTGTGCTAAGCAGGCAGCTTAAGGGCAGGTGAGTCGGTGAGAGAGCACGTGCTTTTGGTTCCCGGAGAACCACTGGGAACAACTAAAGCAGACTGTGATGCTCTCCTCTTCCTGTTCCTCCCGGAAGTCAGTTGCTACCTTGTACCTTTCAGATTCCCGACTGCTCCCCACTGAAGGAATCTGAAATAACTCCACCTACATTCCTGCTATCCCATGGATGATATTTTTTGTCATTCAACTAAATCCATCCACAGGCAGATCAGTCCGAGGGGACCCTGACTGATCTCCTGGCTTTAAAAAGGATCACAAAGCTGGGAAGGGCAAGCAGATTGCCCTTAAAATCCAAAACTGTATCTTTGCAAACACCTGGATCTCAGCCCGTGGAAACTCTGGCAAGGCTCCTACCTGAGCCGCAGAAATGAAGATAGGCAAAGCCCATTGTCTTAAGGCCCTGAATTTGTACAATTTGTTATACCATCAATGCAAAATTAACACAGTAAGCTGAGCAAGTAACATTAATTCCTACCTTTCTCCCCACTTATCATCTTATATATTTCAGAAGTAGCTAAATGATTTCAACATTTATAAGAAGGTTATCTATATGAGTGAGGCCTCATGTAAATTTATGTGTATTTTCTCATTTAACCCTCTAAGCCAGTGGTTCTCAACTTGTGGGGTCAAATGACCCTTTCACAGGGGTTGCCTAAGATGAACTGGAAAACACAGATATTTACATTATGATTCATAACCGTAGCAAAATTACAGTTGTGAATGAAAAATATTATGAACCATAATAAATAATACTATGGTTGGGGTCACAACCATATTAAAGGGTCACAGCGGTAGGAAGGTTGAGAACCACTACTCTAGGCAGTAAGAACAGGCTGGATCACAGTTTGCCTGGAGTATTGCAGGTATGCTACAAATGACTGCCAGGTGCATGCAGATTGGGTGGGTGGATGGGTGGATAGATGGACGGGTAGATGGATGGATGGCTAGATGGATGGATGGGTCGGGGATGAATGGGTAGGTAGGTGGATGGATTGATTGGATAGATGGATGGGTAGATGAAAGTTGGGTGGATGAGGGGTGTGTGGGTAGGTGGGTGGGTGGGTGGATGGGTGGGTAGATGGACAGGTAGATGCATTGATGGGTGGATGGATGGATGGATGGATGGGTGTGAGTGGGCAGGTGAGTAGGTGGATGGATGGATAGATAGATGGGTAGATGGAGGGTGGGGTGAGTGGGTAGGTGAGAGGGTGGGTGGATAGGTGGGTAGATGGATGGATGGGTAGATAGATGGATGGGTAGATGGATGGATGGGTGGGGGTGAGTAGGTAGGTGGGTGGATGGATGGATCGATCAATGGATAAGTAGAGGGATGGATGGATAGATGGAGGGTGGGTGGGTGGATGAATGGGTGGATAGATGGATGCGGAAAAGCAGTCAAGGCCCAAGAGAGAGAACAGAAGAGAAAAATATCCCTCAAAAACACAAAACTGATAATTGCTCTCTTCTGATAAGCCCGTGGCTGCCTCTGTCTCTTATCTCTGGCTCTCTCAAGACCAATCGCCAGCATTTGGGGGATCCTGAACTCCTCTCTCCTTCCACGCACCCCATTCCCTGGCCCTCCCTCCAGACCCACTACTTCCATACATGCTTTCTGAAGAGGTCCACGTGAGGCCCCAGAGCCTGAGGGTCAGCGTCTTTCACAAACCGAACCACGTCCTCCACAGTCCAGGTAGAAGGGTTTCTGCTGCTTGATCTCCTGGTGTCCTGCACCTCTGGAGAGGGGCTCGAGGCTGTAAGGAGTGAGCAGAGAAGGGGGAACCATGAGCCAGTGAAACTCAGTGCTCATCTGGTGCTGCCTACTTGGCACAGGCACCCCTAGCTGGCCTGGGAGGAGTCTTTAGTGCTCGGAAGTCCACAGCATGACCGAGTGACCCTGTGACGTGTGAATTCTACCAGAGGCTGCTCAGTAAGGAGCAAGGGGCATAGGAAAACAGCTGCTCTGTGCCGTGCTGTGCAGGGAGGGAAGTTTTGGAAAAGCTTTTGTCCTTCACAAACAGATTCAGATAAAGTTTTCCAGACCTTCTGTCCAGGGCTCTGTCTGCTGGGATCTGTCCTCGGGTCTGCTATAGCCGGGTATTGGTGACTGGGGCTGGTGAGCTGAGAGCTTAAGTGTTAGCAATATGGGCCTCTGCCCGCTATGGGACCAAGCGATGCTGGGCCGTCTCTGGGTCTTCTGGAGATGGCAGGGGATCATGTGTTGGTACCTTCAGTTTTGGACTTTGCAGAATGGCTAATCTGTCACTTTACCTCCAGCAATCCTGGAGGGTTCGTCTATATCTGCTCTCAGAGGAAGACGATGTTACCCTACAGCTTCCTTTGTCCCCAGTGCTGGGTTCTTCTGAGTCCTTAGGAGGATGCCTCTCCTGCTGGCCCTTCTCCCTGCCCTCCCTGCTGAATCTTTGGTTAACTCATACTGCTAACAGTGTGGCTAATCTGTATTGTCTGCATGACTGAATTTAGAATCACCCAGGAGACGCACCTCTGGGAAGCATTTCCAGAGAGAAGGGAAGGAAGACACACCCTGAATGTGGGTGGCTCCACCCAGAGGCTGGGGTCTCAGACTGCCTGGGGACTGGTGGAGAAAGCCAGTGTGCTGGCTAGTTTTATGTGAATTTGATTGCTAGAGTCATTTTGGAAGAAGGGGCCTCAATTGAGAACATGCTTCCACCGGATAGGCTGTAGACAAGCCTGTGGTTCATTGTCTTGATTGATGTTGATGCAGGAGGGCCCAGCCGGCTCATTGTGGGCAGTGCCACTCCTGGGTTGGTAGTCCTCGGTGCTATAAGAAAGCAGACCAAGTAAGCCAGTGGGCAGCGCTTCTCCATGGTTGCGGTATCAGTTTCTTTCTCCAGGTTCCTGCCTTGCGTGCCTGTCAGTATTATCCTGGATGATGGACCATGGTCTGTGAGATGAATTAAACTCTTCCCCCCCTCCAAGCTGCTTTCAGCCATGGTGTTTTATCACAGCAATGGAATCCCTAGCTATGAGCCAGGTCAGCACCAGCATTCCCTCTGCTCTGCTTTCTGGTCCACCCAGAACGGAGCACACTCCACTGCCCCACTTCATGCAACTTCTGCTTCCAGGCCCAATGTGTTATATGGAGCTATACCCCCGAACTGTGAGCTGACATAGGTCCTGTCTCTCTTTAGCTATTTCTTGTCAATTATTCGTTCACAGGAATGAGAAACGTAAGAAATACACCCACACACCTATCCCCTGAAACAATTTTCCTATGGATTTCTTTGCTTCTGCTCCTTTCTATCTAGCATGGCTGGCACTGCCTCAGGCTGTCACTGAGATCTAGATGTGTCTGTAGACAGCTGCCACTCAAGTCCCTCGGAGTCCCCATTGCCCAAGCCAAGGACTGTATTGTGATTCCGTAGATTCCTAGATGCCGAGGAAGGACTTTGGGCTGGGGGACCTACAGACAAACCCTGGGGCTTCCCTGTCTTTGATTAGACCACAATTTATCTTAGATCGTGGCAGCATTCTCTAGTCAGAGAGGCTGGTTATGGGTACTGAACTGAGCAAGCACTAGGCCTTCTGGTCAACCTCTCGCAGGTATTCCCCAGAACACCCACACATCCACCTGGGCACACTGATTATGGCCCACTTTCCTATTGCTTGCCTGTTTACCCTCCTCCTTCCCACTGATATCCCATCAACCATCAAAGCCCGGGGATTAGGAGCTGGGAAGATGGCTCAGTGGCTAAAACACTTGCCATACAAGCATGAGAACCTGAGTTTGAATCCCCAAAACTGGCATAAAAGTAAGATGCATAGCAAAAGTTTCTGTAGTCCCAGGACTCCTAAAAGAAAGGAAGAGGTGGGGGCCAGAAGACTCCCTGGAAGCCTGTGAGGCAGCTGGCCTAGTGTACATGGCAGAAAAGCAGCATGGAGACCCTGGCTTGGACAAGGTGGGAAGGCAAGGACCTAACACCCAAGGTTGTCTTTGAACCTCCGCATGCGTACAATGGCACACATAGAGTGTCATTCACACACAAATGTATGGGTACATGACATAGCCACATGCATACACATACACACAAATACAATGATAGAGACAGTGAGAGACAGACAGACACACACATAGAGAGAGACAGAGAGACAGACAGACACAGAGAGAGAGAAAAGAGAGAGAGACAGATAGACACACACAGAGAGAGAGACAGACAGACAAGAGAGAGAGAAAAAAGAGAGAGACAGATAGACACAGAGAGAGAGAGAGAGACAGACAAGAGAGAGAGAAAAAAGAGAGAGACAGAGAGACAGATAGACACACACAGAGAGAGACAGACAGACATACACACAGAGAAAGAGAGACAGATAGACAGACACACACACACAGAGACAGAGAGACAGACAGAGAGAGACAGACAGACAGACACAGAGAGAGAGAAAAGAGAGAGAGACAGATAGACACACACACACAGAGAGACAGACAAGAGAGAGAGAAAAAAGAGAGAGACAGAGAGACAGATAGACACAGAGAGAGAGAGAGACAGACAGACAAGAAAGAGAGAAAAAAGAGAGAGACAGAGAGACAGATAGACACACACAGAGAGAGACAGACAGACATACACACAGAGAAAGAGAGAGAGACAGATAGACAGACACACACACAGAGACAGAGAGACAGACAGAGAGAGAGACAGACAGACAGACACAGAGAGAGAGAAAAGAGAGAGACAGATAGACACAGAGAGAGAGAGACAAACAGACAGACACACACAGAGAGAAAGAGAGAGACAGACAGACAGACACACACACACACAGAAAGGCAGAGACAGACACACACACACAGAGACAGACAGACAGAACCTGAAGCTCAGAGACCATTATCAGGCCCCTTGTGGACACCATGGCCATCTTTCTTACTATCACCTGCCTCCCCATCTGCCCTCGGGCTCTTATTTCTCTTCTCTTAGGATGCTTCCCACATCCTTTCAGAACCATCACTCATGTACTTTTCTGTAACCTTTAGGTTTTAATTCCCTGAGAATCCTCCATGTTCATTTCACAATCATGTGCCAAGCACTTGCTCCCCTGACTTGGTCTTGGGAGAGGTTTTTGGTGAACGATACAACCCAAATCCTCTCATTACAGGGTCATATATTACATTGACCCCTCCACAGCCGTGCAGACAATAAATAGACTAGGAGCGTGGATTTGATGACTGTGACCTGGATCGATATGTTTTGCAGAAATATGCTAGCTTTGTGTAAGTGATCCGTGACACTACTTCAAGGCTAGAAAAAAGGCCAGGATTCTGAACAAACAGCAGTATCCCTACAGGATAATTCCAGAAGTGGAGAAGCCAGTGCCTTCTCTGAGTCTTAAGAGGAAGCCGTTTTCTTCCATGCTTCTTCTCCCTCTTTTGCTAAGCCTGAGAAGTACCTAGCACTCATGTACTGAGACAAGCAAACCATCACATTTCTGAATCTGTGCTAGCTGATAACTGGATTTACTTTGACGTTTTTTCCCCTCTGACCTTTGGACCTGGAAGGGTCCCATAAGGAGGTTTGGTACCAGGCATTTCACTGAGAAACGGTTAATGCTCTCCAGAGCCTTCCAATACTGATGCACACTAGTGAAAGATAATTTTTTTTTCTCCATTTAAAGACATCTGCACTCAACATGGGGCTGAAGAATCACAGGAATCACATCTGTCTTCAGGGCCCGCCCACGGGAGCATGGCTGTTAATCAGGGTGGTAATGGATGTCCTGACTACAAAGGCGGCAAGTCTTTAGTCCGAGAATGATTCTGAAGTGATGAGAGCAGAGGTCAAATCTAATTTCCTAGACTTGGCAGGAAGGAGGGGAAGTCCAGCCCACTGATAAGATCCTGCGCTTGGTCCTGAAGTCCTATGAGCGAGGTCAGGAACAGCAGCCGCTGTCTGAACCTGAGCAGAGGGCTCCTGTCTTTGAGGAGAGCGCTCTCAGGGAAGGCTGCAGAGAGCAGACATTGAGGCAAATGTTCTCCATGCTCAGGATTGGTGCCAACTGTGGACATTTCCCCGCTTTTCAGGATAGTGGAAGAGCAGCCAGGCTAGCTTAGGAGTCTTTCTGAGGGCCCTTTTAGTAATACAAGACAGAACATCAGGTCACCTAAGACACTGCTCAAGAGTTGCTCCTCATCAAAGCACATAGTCTTGCTGGAGGAGGAAAACAGAACTCTCCAGCCATGGGTTTGCAAAGTCTGGGCAGGTCTGTACTCACAGAGAAATATCAACACACCACCACATCCTGCTCCAGCTACTGGGAAAGTGTCAGAAAGACTTATGTGTCCAGTCCGACTCAGTCAGAGTAGGAAGATGTGACAGATCAACCATCAGCCAGGATGGATCGAATGAATCGTGCTCCTGTGTGAACAGAGCATGCGCAACACTCGCTACCCGCTGTGTTCTCTAGCGCTTGCGGAAAGCAGTGCTTGGTCAGGCTGCTTCCTGTGGGTTGTGGAGATGTGAAAAGTGAGACCCACTGGTGAATGGGTACATAATTAAATCTTGTTGCTCCTGAAGCCAAATTCAAGGTTAACAGAAAAATAGACCACCGGCAGACTCAGTGTTGAAAAGCAATCCCCCGGCCCCTTCCGAAGTGCAGGTACCACATCTGCGGATCTCTTTCTGTCTTGTGCATTCCCACGAGCACACAGATAATTGGTCTTTGCTCATTTATAATTCAGGGGAAACTTTAGCTAACAGTGTGGGGGCATGGAACAAGCGAGGGATGAGCCAGGAGCCAGAGCTCCCTATCTTCCACAGCTGTGTCCAGGAGCGCAGCAGAGGTATGTGGCAGGATGCGCATGCTCTGTCCAAAGTCAGGTAGCGCCTGACCCAGTGTACCACGGGTTGCTGACACTGACACCTCTGCAGGCCTTGGGTGTGTGTCTAAGGCTATGCAGAGTCCAGGCTAGCCCACAATCTATGCAGAATCAGGTAGGCTGCAACAATGTTGTCTCATTCTCTTTCAATGACACTTAGCTTTTAATCGGGTTTTTCTATTAATCCTTCAAGACCAGCTGCCCTGCCAACATGACAGAAGATGCCCCTGGAGACCAGCAGGCCGGGCTGGGCAGCATTCCTTCTCAACCGGCAGCTGACGCTGTAGCCTCCACCCTCTGGCTTTGACAAGCAATGCGATCTCTGCCAGGAGCCTCAGGACACCTCTTCTTCATGGGGCTCAAATGTCACTTCTCATGTCAGTGGGTTCCATCACACCTCCCTGGAGTCTTTCCTGACTCCCAAGGTGAGAGGGTCCAGCACCCCCTTTCCAACACTGTGACAGCAGCCCCCATCCAGTACTGTCTCAGCAACCCCCATCCAGTGCTGTCACAGCAACCCCCATCCAGTGCTGTCTCAGCAACCCCCCATTCAAAACTGTCTCAGCAACCCCCCATTCAATACTGTCTCAGCAACCTCCCTCCCAATACTGTCACGTAGGTCACACTTTCCACCTCCAACAATCACAATAGCGTGCTAAGGTCCATCTCTCTGCAATGGGCTCCTTCTGCCCAGTTCACGGCACCATCCTCAGACCTGAGAAGAACCCCTGCCCCGGTGCCCAGTGGACATCTGCTGACCAGAACACCCAGTCCCTTAGCTGTTTACCAGTCATCTTGGGTAGAAAGCATCCAATAGGATAAAGTTATAAACGTCAGCATTAGCCCCAAAGCTATTGGCATTCTTCTTCTCGGTCATCTCATAAACGTTCAGTAGACGGTGCCCCTAAATCCCACCACCGCCAGCACATTCCCCTGCTCAAGAATACGTGGTTTACAATCGCTGTAAGTGAAGCCCCATCTGCCTGACACAGACCCCAAACCATCAGGTGGGATTTCCCGCATCATCCCAGCCCCAACTCCTTTCTCTCCACAATGAGGAAGCCCTTTCTTGCCTCTGCAGGTACCAGCCCTCACATGAGGCCCTCGTCCTCATCATTTCTCTAGCAAAACCATCTCTGCTCCTCGCTGACAGAGCATCCCTTAAAAGCCAACTCCAGCGCACAGGGAAAGTTTGCACTCTAACAACAATGTCAGATTTATTTTGTTTCTGACCCTACATCTTGGCGCTGCCTGGGAATTCCATAGCCCATTCAGGAAGCTTTTGTTATCTGAAACCTCTTTACAGCCCTTTAGAGCTCTGGCTGATTGTATCTGGGATGAGAGACTGAAGCCCCCAAATATTCACCTGAGATTCAGTTCAAACCCCAGGGAAACCACAGCCCGCGCTGTACCTCGGTGGCATTGTTAGGCACTGGCGGCGGCTGGCACTGGGTCCAGCTCCAGGAGCAGCAGGAGGCTGGGCTAAGGCTTCACATCAGAGGGAAAGGCAGCTGAGAACCAGCCACCTCATCCCTCCCTCCCCTCCTGCCTGCAGCCTGGTGCAGCTCTCCAGACTCTGTGGTTTCAAACCATTGTGATTAGTAGCTAGGGAGAAAATCCATTTCTAGGTTTCTTCCAGGGTTTATGAGCTGGGTCAAACCCATTGAAGAGAAACAGTTCCTTGATGCCAACGGATTTCACCTGGGATGTAATTTCAGAGGAACATCAGACAGTCCTCGGGAGAGGAAAGGCTTTAGCAGAGAGAAGAGGAGATAGTAGGAGCCGCAGCAGGGTGCAGGCTGGCAGGTGAGTGAGGATGGGTAGGGAGGCTGAGGCTTTCCCTCTGCCTTGGGTTCTGCGCTCAGTCAGCATCCTGAACCACCATGGTCATTAGGCAAGCTTGCTTCAAACAAAGCAACTGTGGGGAGGCCCTTGATAAAGAGTTGCAGTGGAGTTGGATTCCTGTCCACTTTCACCCTCTTCTTCATCCCCTTCCACATCAGAAGGGACCCCAAGAAACCCTGCAAGCAGAGATCCTGGGGTGTTTGGATATACCCAAAACTTTGGAGTTAGCCACCTCAGTTTGGTTCACAGCTGACAGACCTCTTGGTCCACATTACCTGGAACTGAACCCGGTAACACGGCCTAGGAGCAACATATTATACCATGATAAGTCCTAAGTCCAGTAGAAATTGGTCCATGGTTGATGCCTGCTAAGTGAAAGTCTAGCACAAGCCTCCTTTTGCTTGGACTGTCAGGGATTCAAATACATGTGACACCTCCACAAAACTGAGGTCATGGCTCCTCTAGTGTGACAGGGTAATACTTAAGAGAATAAAGCACCAGGGGAAGAAAAACAGAGAATGCAAGCATTCTTCATAAGGACGTGTTGCTCAGACTGCTAGCTGCCTGCACAACCCCCCTCCCACCCCTGCTGCTTCTTTATAACAAGTCCCTGATGTCCACCTGGAATTCAAACTACATTTCCCAGCTTCTTTTGCAGCTATTGCCCATGTGGCTCAGTTCTAGAAAATGAGATATAGCAGAAAGGGAAAGTTCTTTCAGAGACACGAGGCACAACCCTCTGCCCCCTTTCTCCCACCTACTTCCCCCTTTCTCTACTGAGACAGCACGGCTGAGCGGTGGCTGAGCGGTGGCTGAGCGGTGGCTGAGCGGTGGCTGAGCGGTGGCTGAGCCGTGGCTGAGCCGTGGCTGAGCGGTGGCTGAGCGGTGGCTGAGCCGTGGCTGAGCGGTGGCTGAGCGGTGGCTGAGCGGTGGCTGAGCCGTGGCTGATCCGTGGCTGAGCCGTGGCTGAGCCGTGGCTGAGCCGTGGCTGAGCCGTGGCTGAGCCGTGGCTGAGCGGCTGGCTCCCGTATTTCCACTGTCCCTTTAGCGCCCTGCAGGGGCACCATTAGTGGAGTCCTTACACTGAAAAGTTCTGCAGTTATAGAGTGAAGCAATTCATTGTTCTGCCTTTTAGAGCCACCTCTCCCTCAAAGGGTCCCTGCTGATCCTTCCGTCCGTGGCCAGCAGAGGCCCGTCTGGGGCTTGCTTGTCTGGGATGGGTGAAGCTATCTGAGGGAAGTGTGCAGGGGATCGTGAACCATACAGAACAGCTCACGTGCATGACTCCTGGCAGCCACTGGAAGAGGGATCTGGACCTAGGGAAGAGACAGCCAGCCCAGTGAGGGTGACAGAGGAGTAAGCTGAAGATTCCCTGACTCTGGTCTCAGGTCCCCTTCAGCGGTTTCAGCTGTGGCTCCCCACAGCTGTGGTCGGTAGAGGGATGCATTCACAAATCTACGGTACTAGTATTTATTAACCACTTACTATGGCCATAGGCCCTCTACTAAAGCTACATGCAAATGTGTTTAACCTTCCCCGTGGTTCTATGATGGAGGGGTGGCTGGTACAATCACTTTAATTTCTTAGGGAAGGAAACAGAAACACAGAGAAACCAGGGCTGAAAAGAGCCATCCAGTCCAGTTAGAGGACAGTAAACCCACAATTCCAGACTGCTTCATCCACAAAATTATCTATCCATCCTGCTCCATCACTTCTAATCCATTAATGAAATCCCAAAGCTTGAGAATGACTTTGTGAAGCAGGGGTGTCCAATCCTGTGACATTGAAATATGATGTCATGTGACACACGCTACACTAACCTCATTGTTACCCTGGTTACAGGAGGCCCACAGGCTGCAGGCTGGGCCCACCTGTTGTAAGGCATCTACCAGAATGGCCTCTGGTGCAGGAGAATTGTCTGTAGTCTGTCAATCATGTTTTAAATAAATGCTGATTGGCCAGGCAGGAAGTATAGGTGGGTCAACCAGACAGGAAGTAGAGGCGGGGCAATGAGAACAGGAGTATTCTGGGAAGCAGGAAGCTCCCTCTGCAGTCCTGCCCAGACCACGGAAGAAGCAAGATGTAATATACCCAGCTGAGAAAGGTACCGAGCCATATGGTTAACAAAGATAAGAATAATGGGTTAATATAAGCTACAAGAGCTAATAAGTAGCCTGAGCTAATGGGCCAATCAGTTTTATAACTTATGGAGATCTCTGTGTGATTTTCTTTGTGGCTTGCCGTCTGTGGGGAACTGGGCAGGACATAAACCCCAACAAGCCAGCCCTCATGTTACAGGCCTCCATGTAGTTCCTAGAGTCCCACGTCCCTTTGAGCACTTTCGTGTATTACTTTTCTCTGTGAGGAACAGGAGGGCTGAATAACCAGCACTGAGACACTTTGTCTTTTCTGCTTTCTCCAGTGAACTTCTGTCATGGATGATTTAATAATCAATCTCTCACTATGCAAAAGACAATTTTTGCCCAAGTCTGCTGCTGTTTTCTTCTGGGCACAGAGCTGGGCTCCCCTGGCTATGTAGGATGCAATGACCTAATCTCTCCCGGCTAAGTGGGATGTAATGACCTAACCTTGCCAATGGATCATGAGTGGGATCCATGCCCATCCCATCTAGGGCATCACATGTGTCCTCCCCACTCCCGTCCACTAGATGCAGGGCATGGTGGGGACACAAGATGAACAGAGCAGGGGCCCTGCATTGAGAGGGAGAACCACCCCTTGGTGTCTTGAACTAAGTTGTAATCTATTAATCATTCCTACCTAATATGCCATTTTCATCATTTATGATCAAAGAGTTAAAACTGACTGACTGCCTACAGGAATGACAAAAATCCAAGGAACTTGTGGAAAGTTCTTGTTTCCAGAAGAGTCATGTTCATATCACTGTACTATAATCCCCTCCCCTCCTCTCACCCCCCCCCCCCGCCATCTCCCACCCCGTGCTGTGTCTCTAGGGCAAGGGTGGAAGCCATTCTGCCCCCAGAAAGCCAGGCCATGTGTTACGTTACCACATCTGTTTCCTTCGCCTTCATTCCTCTTGGGGCTGGAGGCCGGGAACCTCAGTCCAGGTGTCGATGGCCCTCCCAAGGGCACAGGGTTGGTGCGGGAACTGCTGGTGGTAGTGGCAGGGCCTCCTCCAAGGTGGCTGTCTCCAGAGTTCAGTCTCTTGTAGTACTGGGAGGAGGAGTGGGCCAAGGAGCCCCGGTGGCTAAAGGCCGCGGAGGAGGTATCCATGCTGTAGCGGTCCATGCCCACAGGGTTGGCCAGACACTCTTCAGCAGTGGCCGCCTGGGCTGCAGAGGAAGGATGCAGGGAAGAGAGATGAGAGGACCATCCAGGGAGCCCCCCAAGCTGCAATCGTGACAAACCCTGCTCCAACACAGTTGCTGTTACCAGTGAGCTTGTGCAAAGAGGAGAAACGAACACAGAATAGTCCAGAGAGCACTGGGAGCAGATTGAGGTCTTGCCTCACCAAAGACGGGTTCTTCCATGTTTAGAAGGAACAGTGGCCATCTTGGCCCTCAATCACTTGAAAATAAACAACAAGAAAAGAATCAATGGTTCTGCTTGTGAATGTGTGTGTGTGTGTATGTGTGTGTGTGCATGTGTATGTGTAGGTATGTGTGTAAAGGTATGTGTGTGTGTTAGGATGTGTAGGGTGTGTGTGTGTTTGTGTGTGTATGTGTGTGTATAAAGGTCCAGATACATCACGGAGATAAAAATAAAAAGGAAACCATTCTAGCCCACCCCCACCTAGTCAAAATCATATCTAGGGCAAGTAGCTGGTCCTACCACTGGGGACTTCCATGGAGACTGCCCAAAAAGAAAAGTCATCATGACTTAAGACCACAGCAGTAACTTAGAGGTAAATATTGTAGGTGCAAAAATGTCTGTTTTAGGGCTGGAGAGATGATGGCCCAGCAGTTAAGAGCACTTGCTTCTTTTCCAGAGGACCAGGGCTCGATTCTTAGTACCTGTATGTTGGCACACAATTGTCTGTAGCTCTAGGTCCAAGGGATCCGACGCCCTCTTCTGGCCTCTGCAGGCACCAGGCACGCATGGAATGCACAGACACATGCAGGCAAATAACCCGTTCACATAAATAAAATAAATAACCCGTACACATAAAATAAAATAAACCTTACATTGTAGAGGATGAACAATTTCTTATAAATAACCATTCACCTTAAGACATTAAACCCAGCAAATTAAATGTAAAGCAAGTGGATAGAGATTTGAACAGAAATTAATCTACTAGAAAATCACTAGGAAATGAGAGCAACGCTAGCAAAAGCTGGTTCTTTAGAAACAGTAACACATTAACACACCTTTAGACGACCTAGCAAAAGTGTAGGCAAGGCAGATCGCTAGACTCAGAAACAAACAGATTTTTCCCTCAGCCTTACAGGGATGAGAAAAGTCGAAGCATGTTATAAATGACTATAAATAATTAGATAAATTGAATGAAAAGGCAAATTACTGGAGCTGACTCAAGAAATGATCATCTGTATAGCATAGACCCGTAGCAAGAGGATGAATTAGCAATTTTAAAAATAACAACAAAGGAAGAGAAAGCACAAATGATTTATAGGCAAACTCTACCAAACATTTCAAAATAAAAATACAGATTTTCACAAATTCTCTCCAAAAAGTAAAAGAGGAGAGAACACTTTCCGACTCACTTTCTAAAGCTAATGTCACTTTAAGACCAAATCCAGACAGACAGCGTAGGAGAGAGAATGAAGAAAATTGCAGGCAATAGGCTCCTCATCACAAGAACACAGAAGCCCTCCCCCAGCACTAACAAGACTGAACTCGATGACTTTCAGGAATAGACAACAACCAAGGAGGAATTGAGAGGAAATCAATATACCATATTGATGGAACACAAAAGTCCAAAGGCTACCTGACCATCTCAAAAGATGCAGAAAAACACGGGACAAAACCTTGTACTGTCTCGTGATAAGTTTCAGGCAGTAAGCCAGGACAGAAGGGGATTTCCTCAACAAAGGCTCTTTGAAAGTACACAGGGGACACTATGGTTTACAGGGAGAGGCGGGACACTGTGCTCTGTGGCCAGCATGGCTTTGGCGCCAGCATGGCTTCAGTCATAAGCTTTGTGCTGGAGCTTTTAGCCATGGCAGAAATTTTGCTAAGAAAAAGCAAGGACAGTCTTCCAGATAGGAAAAGGAAGAAAAATGGCCACCGTGCATACAAAGGCCACAAGAACCCAGTTTTAAAATTACTGGAACTAGTAAATTATCAGCAAGGTTGGAAGATGCAAAATCAATACATAAAATCACTTGTCTTTCTATATACTTCCACTGAACAGTCCTAAGATTAAATGAAGAAAGCAACTCCATACAATAAGATTAAAAAGAGTGAAACACTTCAAAACAAATCGAACACAAGAAATTTCAATTTCTGTTCTAGAAAAAATACACAAGACTGTTGAAGAAGGTGCGAATGAATGGTGAAAATACCATATTCATAGATTATGTTATCATTACGGTGGTAATACACTAAAAATGTTCAACGACACCAACACAGTCCCTGTGAGAATCCTCACTAACTTCTTCATTGTAATTAACACACCTAGAATAATTGTCATGGGATGGAGAGATGGCTCAGCAGTTAAGAGCACTGCCTGCTCTTTCAGAGGTCTTGAGTTCAATTCCCGGCAACCACATGGTGGCTCACAACCATCTGTAATGAGATCTGGTGCCGTCTCGAGGAAGAAACCTGGTCAGCTGTCCTCATCAACTTAGACCATGAAACCCAACATGGACAAGTTCAACAGAAGCGCCATATACGGGACTGCCCATGCACGCTTCAGCACTGCCAGGGCATAAACTTCATTTTAGGTCATTCAAGGTCAAGGAGAAATATTACCAGCCTAACACACTCAAGGCCTCCGTATTACAGAGCTCCCCCAAACAGACAATAAAAAGTGCTGCAAAGAAATTAGAACTCTCATATATGTAAGTAAAAAGTGGCCCGGCCACTTTGGAAAACAGACACATAAGGCAAAATTACCACATGACTCAGAAGCTGCACTGGGCGTGTGTGTAAAGACAACAAAAACATTTGTAAGAAGGAACATTCACACCCACTGAGCACGTCCTACATGCCAGCTCCGCTCCAATACTGGCAAGCAGAAAAGCAGCATACCTTCCCTTGATTGGGAAGTGCTCATAGCTGGTCCTTCCCTTCTTGTCCCGAGTGGGAGGTGCTTCAGTGTCCACCAAGAAGTGGCAAGAGTTTCTTCCATGGAGCTTGGCATAGATGCGAGCTTGAGAAAGTTTACTGGGTAAACACTGAGCTGGTGATAGCGAGACCACGGTCAGTAGCGAGAAGATGCATCAGCATCCAAAGATGTCCCTAAGTGGTGGCATGGAACTTCGTGTAGATTTGTGACAGTGGAGAAGGTTTAATAAGACACTGTGCTAAATACTTTAAATCTAAAGAGGACATGCCTGTCCTGTCCTGACCGTGTCATAGAGAGAACACAGACAGTTCACCCACCTACATTTAGAAAATGCAGAAACAGATGGACAACCATCCTATGGCAAAGGTAGGAATGGGACCAAGGGAACAGGACTCTGCTGGTTTTAAAGTTGCTGCTGACCCTGGGTGAGGGTAAAGTAATAAAAGCCAGCTTCCAGGCTGAGGTTTTGATGACTCAGTCAGAAGACAAAAGCCACCTCAGAGAGCCCTAAGCCAGGGCACCCTTCCCTACCCAGGCCACTCTGGTGACTCCAAAGTCTGCCTAGGTGGGTAACTATGGAGACAAACGGCCACACCTCACACCTGGCTTCTGAGAGACACAAACGAGCAGCATTTTAAATTTACAGGTGTGAGGGCGAGGCCTGTAATCCCAGAGACTTGGATGCTGAGGCAAAATGATTGCAAGTTCAAGGCCTGCCTAGGGAACTGGGAAATCCTGTCTCAAGAGAAAAAAGGAAGAACAAAACAAAACAAACAAACAAACAAGAGGGATGAAGACACAGCACACCAGCTCAGCAAGCTCTGGTTTTAAACTTCACTACCACCAAGAAATAAAAAGCAAGGAATTGACACAGCAAAGCCACTGGAGCCCGATTAAAACAGCTTTCCCCACGTGTATCCGCAGAATGCTACACAGCGCACCATATGGATTGTTACCATACTACCAGCCTGAAAGGGACAAAGAGCTGGCTTGGCATTTCCCTGGTGTCAAATGTACCCGTGGGCAGGACAAGGCACAGATTTAGGTAAAACGGGGGATGAAGCGATCATTACAATCTAGCTAGCTGACAATGAAGCCTAAGTAGGGAGTGGAGCTGACAGAGGGCTGAGCTGCCGTTTAGAGTGTAGAGGAGGAACATTTCCACCTTCACGGGTTTTTCTGGTCACTCACGACCTGAGCTTTCCTTGACTGCAAGAGTATTCCTCCAATCTCAAGTTCTCTGTGTTCTCCCTGTGGGCAATGTGTGTACCTATAAAGCAATAGAATCTCACCAACTACTGATGGACCCCATTTCTGGATAAGGACCCACTCACTCACAGGTGCCAGGGGAACACACATCATTTGGGAGAATAGAGTTTGGCTGAAGAAGACTAAATGAGTTTTGCTGGTGGTATCTTTTTTAAGATTTATTTATTTGTTTTATGTATATGAGTTCTCTATCTGTATGTACGACTTTATGTCAGAGGAGGGCATCACATCCCACATAGATGGTTGTGAGTCACTGTGTGGTTGCTGGGAAACCAGTGCTCTGAAGTGCTGCACCATCTCTCCAGCCCTTGGGATTTTTTAAGACAACATCTCACTCAGTTGCCCAGAGTAGCCCGGAACTCAACAATGTAGCCCAGGCTGGTACTGAACTTAAGGCAGTTCTGCTGAGGGCTGAGATTACAGGTATAAGGCACCACACATGGCTGTGAAGTTTTTACGGTCATGTATTTTAATATATATATCCGTAAAATACAGTTTGCAAACCAAACAATTTTAACACTGATGAGAGGCTTGTTAGAAGGGAGTTGTTTGGAAGGGGTATCTGGAGCGATCAGCTCTGTAGGTATTACTCAGATAGTTCAGAACTGGGGAGATGGCACAGGAGCATTGGGATCACGCTGAGCTAGATCCAACCTTTGCCTGCTATGGCCAGTAACTGAACCTTTTCTTGAGAAACTTCCCCAGGGTCTGGAGAGATGGCTCAGTGGTTGAAGAACCTGTACTACTTTGCAGAAGACCTAAGTTCAGTTCCAGCACCGACACTGGATGGGTTTGGAACATAGGATTTACAGAGCTGTCTGCCACTCTGGGTCCAGGGAAGCTGATGCCCTCTTCTGGCCACCGTTGGTACTGCATGCACATGCACACAGCTACATATATTTACATAAAAATGAATCACAGTAAAAACTTCCCCATGGGATCTCATGGCTAGGCCACGGTGTTACAAATCTATTGCTTAAAATTTTTCTCTTACACCTAAGTCCAGATGCTCTTGCTTTGATATAAAAGCTGACTGGTGGATACTCTTTGTACTACCCAAAACCACGAGCTCATTCAGCAGACAGGTCGATGGGTTACAGGTAGCAGAACTTCCACTAACTTAGGAACTTAACCGCACTGTGGTTACATTCATCATCTGAATCCACTGCGTACAGTGGGCCAAACAAAGGAAGACAGCTTTACGGGCAGAGAAGAACTCCTTTAGCTTTGTGGCAGCGTACAGTATGAACGGCAGATGGGGCCAGCAGACCGGAATCCTCCAGAACCAGCATCCACAGAGCCTGCATCTCCTTCCACACCGATTCCTGGCAAACCACAGGCCTGGTAGGCAGCATGGCCAGTGTTATTCCTTCCTGGGTCCTCACAAACCTCTTCTCATCTGAAATAAGCTCTCAGTCCCCAGTGAGAGAACCCAGCCGGGGGCTGTGGCAAGTGCGCCTGTGCAAAGCAGGGGGAGGCACGCCTCAGGACCTTGCGAGCCCCTGCGTCCCTCTCAGAGGCCAGAGAAGCCTCTTGTAAATCCTCCCGTGTCTCCTCCAGAGAGAGCAATTGCTGACCTCCTTGCACCCACGACAGCTTGCTTCAGTAGAGAGGCAAGAGCAGGCAAGGCTCACGCACACATTTCGGGCCCCTTCTGGGGTGTGGGTGTCTGGGGAACTTTCTGGAGAGCGTTATGCTTCTTTTTCACCATTGTGATCTGTCTGGGGCCTGTGGTGTCCTCGGTGGCTGGGTGGATGAAGCAAAACAAAGAATCTCTAGACCAAAAAGGGCCTCCTGACTGTCTAGGTCTCCCTGTTGGAGGAAAAATTTCCTCTCTCGGCCTGCCCATCGCCTGGATTACAGTGGGAATGGGAGGGGCGTCTTCCAGGACCACTCACGTGGTTCTGGAGAACACCCCAGGGAGAAGAAGCTGAAGAAAGAGGGACAAGAGCGGGAGAGGGAGTCCCAAAGCGAGGGAGGGCTGTGTACAAGGCCCACACGTAGAACAAGCATTAGCACAATGTGTGTAAGGCAGGGCTGGATGGCTAGGGCTTGGTGGCTAACAGCCAAGGGAGCTCGGGCCGTCGTGTTTGCTCCGTAAATCAGAACAGCACTCATATTCTCTAACGAAGGCCTGAGCTGCAACAAGATCACCAGCTGTAAAATTCTTCTCACAATACCTCTTGATCCAGTGATGCCCAGAGATGCCGGGCTGAGACGCTAGCCCACCGTTTGTGCTCCCTAATCTACCCCATCGCCACACCCCCACATACACACACAAACACACAAACACACACACATATACACATGCACACACACAAACACATATACACACATACACACGCACATACACATATACACGCATAGCACGCACATGCATATACACGCATAGCACGCACATGCATATACACGCATACACACACTTTTCCACGTGCACACACAAACACACACACATATACATATGCACACACACAAACACATATACACACATACACACGCACATACACATATACACGCATAGCACGCACATGCATATACACGCATACACACACTTTTCCACGTGCACACACACACACACCACCTCGCCTTATTTCTCTCACATCATTCCTAACTGCCCAGTTGAGGGAGCTCAGCCAGTCATTAACGCTACCTTCCCTCAGGCTGAAAGCCACGGCCTTTCTTGATGAATGTCTGGCCCTCCACCACTCTGCCTAGTTCCTGGTCAGTGCTCAGAGGACTTTCAGTGAGAACAGCTTGACCTGGCTACACCAGAAGCTGGCAGCACTTCAGATGCTGGTGTCGAAGCCCAGAGGAGAAAAGGCTGGACCGAAGCCCGCCAGGCACAGCTTCCGAGAGCTGTGAAGAACCCACCAGGGAGGTTTGGCTACTTGGCTTTCCTAGGGAAGAAAGCCTGGAGTCTTGGGAGAACAGCGTGGGGGGCCTGAGGGATGAAGCTGGAGGCAGGGCCAGGAAGGGAAGGGGTGGGGGCTTGCCCTCAGCCCTCAGCCCAGACACGCATGCCGCCGCCACCTACCTGGGTGCAGTCCTTTTCCTCAGGCTTAGCCCACACTCCTGGGGGCTGGGGCTCCTAACTTGCAGCAGATGCTGTGGGACACAGGGGGCATTTCATGTCCTCAAAGGGACTCAAAGGTGGCCGGAAGCAAACACCCACCCTTCCACAGCAGCTTTTAAGGAGGCTCTGGCCACAGTCACAGATTTTCCGTTCCCAGGCTCAGTCCCACCCCTGTTCCTACCGATAAGCAATTCTCGTTTTCCCTTAGGGCCTCAGTGGCCTTGTGTCTCGCCTTCCGGGTTCAAAGGGCACCAGGCTGTACCACCTACAGGCGGAGCATATCATTCCCTTCAATTACATTTTCCATTAACTTAGTCCCTGGCCGGTATAGATTTTCTCCTTTAGCTTGGCCCAGCTCGCCCTTCACTCGGGTGCATTTAGTACATTTACATTTTCCCTTCCCTGAGGAGAGGCCGGGACGAGCCAGCATTTCTAATGCCTGACACCTGAATTTCCTCCGTTCTCCAGCAAGTTTCTGGTTTGCCGAAGACTTTGTTCTAAGCTGTGGATTGATTTTCCTGCTTCGGAAAGTTGGAGCAAAGACAGTTTTGACTGAAGTCAGCTGTTTAGAATAATGAATCCCCTTTGGGCCTTAAGAGGAGAGCAGGCTCCACGACTACCTTCCAGGGGATGTGGCAGTACCCCAAGTGCACAGAAAACCCAAGCAGGAAGAGAAGGCAGTGGCGAGGGTCCATCTCTGCTTCCTCAACAGCCCCCGTGCTGTTTGCTCTTTTATAAACTGAGGGGCTGGAGAGACAATTCAGTCAGCAAAGTGCTTGCCCCACAAGAGTGAGGACATGAGTTAGATTCCAGTACGCACACGCATACTCATGCACACACACTCAAACAAACACACACACACAAACAAACACACATATACACACACTCACACAAGCACACACACACAAACTCACAAACACACACTCACAAACAAACACACACAAACACACATACACACAAGTGCATTGACACACACCAGGGCACTTACACAAACACACTCACACAAACACACATATATACACAAACACACATACACACAAGTGCATTGACACACACCAGGGCACTTACACAAACACACATATATACTCAAACACACACAAACACACATACACACAAGTGCATTGACACACACCAGGGCACTTACACAAACACACTCACACAAACACACATATATACTCAAACACACACAAACATACATACACACAAGTGCATTGACACACACCAGGGCACTTACACAAACACACTCACACAAACACACATATGCACACACGCAAGAACACACATACACGAATACACACACAAGTGCACTCACACACACACGCTGGCTAGCCAGCCTAGCCAACTACTGAGAACTATTTCTTAGTTTCTATTGCTGATAGAACACCATGACGAAGTCGGCATGTATAAGAAAGCATTTAACTGGGATTATAGTTTCAGAATGTAGAGTCCAAAGGCATGGTGGCAGGAACAGCGAAAGCTCACTTCTCAGACTGAAAGCAGGAGGCCACACATGGGAATACCATGTGTTTTCTGAATCCTCAAAGCCCACCCTAGTGATGCACCTCCTCCAAAAAGACCACACCTCCTAATCCATCACTCTACATTGCTAAGAACTCTACCTGCCATTAGTATCTACAGATGCAGACAAGGCTGAAGCATTGACCTTCCTGACCCATCCTCTGGCCATTTTTATTCAGCCTGGGCTATTCTGTGGCTGTGATACCCAAGTTCCTCAACCCTTGGTTACTTTCCATCCTGTGCTAAGAGGTAAACACCAGCTCTCAAAGGAAGGCGTGTGTGATGCATGGCCCAATCAGAGTCTTACAGTGTATAGCTTTCTTTAAGCAGATAAACCCAGGACATTACACGCAGGAAGACTACATCTGTCCCTTCAGCCTACCCTCTTTGGGACTGCTTAGTTCCTTGGTTTCACAGTCCTTGAACTACTCAACAAGGACAAAGTTACCAGAGTTTCCTGACAGTAGGGGGAAGAAGACCACTCGGAAGGTGTAACCTGGTATCACGGTCTAAATTCTAAGCACACAGGCTGCAAGGCTAGGGTGTCAGCTCCCAGGAGCTGGAGAGACCACGTTTCCTGAAAGTATCAGATGGAAACAGTCTAGACATCTGAGTTCCAGGCAGCTGGGAGTCCAGAGAGATGGGTCTGGGCCTCTAAGGACAGCGGCGCCCCTCAGCAGCGGCCTCATCTACCAACCACGAGGGAGGCCCCTGCAGCAGGACAAAGCAGCCCCTCCTCACCTGACCCGGGCCTCCCATCCTCTCTCTCCTGGGTCTTCTCAGAGGCACTGAGGCTCCCAGGGTAGGGCAGGTGACTGAAGAGGTTGTCACACAGGAGGCTACGGCACAGTTTGGTCAGGAAGCGGAGGACATAGCCCACACTGTTCACCACGGGCAGGCTCCTCAGGTGCTGTTTTCCATCAAAGGAAGCAGAGACTAGAAAACCAGAAATAGGAACTCAGAGCTGGGCACAGGAAGTGGAGAAGGGCAATTCATCTCCCTTTTATTTGTAGTTGGGCTCTATGGGGTTCCACTGGAAGTCTCGATAATCCTGTCTCCATCCTGGGGTGCCGCCCAGGGCAGCACACTGCTTTCGTTGCCCAGTCCCCTTGCCTCCTTGGTCTGTGACAGTTCGTCTCCCTGTCCTTGCTTTACTTGATTGCGGCAGCAGCCCTGACCAGCTCTGCTTAGATATTGGGAAACCTGCCTCTCCATTGCATCTGGCTCATACTTTTTCTCACAGCTGGAATCGTGGGATTGGGGATGGGGAGAAAGACTATGGAGACAAAGAACCCTTCATGAAACACCACACCGGGGGCCACGTCATACCCACAGGGCGCTTCTGTGGCATGAACCTTCCACACTTAGCGGAACCAATGTGTACCATACCCTCTCTGTTCTCCATATTCTGGTCCCTGGGCCCAGTCACTAAGTCTGGGTCACCAAGTCACTAAACCTGCCATCTCCAAGGGTCTCGGGGGTGTTCAGCACTACTTCCTGTCTAGAACAGCAGTGACTCCCACATCCAATTCCTCTGTAAGGACAGATTGCTCCATCTCGTCCCTTTATTTTTGATTCAGTCGTTTTGCTAAGCTTGATGTGACTCCAGAACACATGTTATATGTCCGGGGTTGTCAAAGGCTGTTTGTCTTCTAATGCTAATTGTTCCAGCTTTCATTTCTGGGCCGCAATGAGGTTGACTCCTGTGTCTCTTTGGTTTGGGGCACTTTGGCGCATCCCAGGACCATCCTGCTCCAGCCCTGCCATTGGCGATTCTCCACGGTCCTGCTTCCTCTGAGAGATGCAGAGAAAGCCACTAGAGTGTCGGGTGAGCTCACTGATCCCGGGGGTCAGCAGTTGTGAACCGTCCCAGTGGGCAGAGGGTTGGCAGTGTGAACGTGCATTGGCAGTGTGAACGTGCGTGCGTTCTCCTGGTGTGATTACATATCTGTTGCTGCTCCCACCCAGGAGTCCGTCTCTGACCGTGTCTGAAGGAAGAGATAGACACAGACACCAGAGTTCGCCCCGAAGTCTCCAATTTAATGTATTTGCCACCAGAGGACCCCAGGGGGCTTTCAGGGAAAGCCCTCAAGAGAAGAATCTTCAATTCAGGGCTGGAGAGATGGCTCAATGGTTAAGAGCACTGGCAGTTATTGTAGAGGGCCCGGGTTCTGTTCCCAGCACCCACATGGCAGCTCACAACTGACTGTAACCTCAGTTTCAGGGAGTCTGACACTCTTCATACATGTATACATCCAGACAAAACACCAATGCACATAAAATAAGAATAAATATTTAAAAGGGAGGGGGGCTCTCCAGAGCAACACTGAGTTCCAGCTCTGGACAGTAACCAAACTGAGAAGTCCAAACTGAGAAGTCCAAACTGAGAAGTCCAAACTGAGAAGTGGCGTCAGTTTCCTGTCTCTCTCCTCACAGCCCCTCACCCCACCACCAGCTCCAGTGTGAGGGACACACAAAGACACCTCAGAGAGGACCTCCTGCTTGGACCCAGCTTTGACCCAGGCTTCCCCCACTCCCAGCAACCCTAGCAGGCAGCCTGTTGACTTGCATCATATCCCCTGAAGCTTGGCAGATGGCAGGGGCTACCATTGCTAGTCTTTATTATAACCAGACACCAAAAGATTCCATTTCTTACATATAGTGCTTTTCAGTTTGCTAAGGCCTGTGGAACTCATTTGCACACAGGCCTCCTGCTGGCCTATGAGGATTGGGGCTGTTGTCCTGTGTTACAGAAGATGAAGCGGAGGAGAATCCTAGACTGGAATTTTCAGTTCGTGTGGCTTCCGTGTGGCACTTGTCTTTCATCTGAAATTCAAAGTGGCTCTGATCCAGGGTCTAGCCTCAGAGCCATCATTATGCCTGTCCCAGATACTTTGCAAACCCCTGATTAGTATAGGCACTGTCTTAAAATGCTAGGTGATACAAAAACTAGCCCCGAGGTGGGAGAGCCTTGGAACCTCAGGTCTACCCAGTCAATCACAAATGTATTCTGGAAGCATTCATGGGATTGCATACATGGGTGAAATCCCATCTCTTTCAAGAAGATGTGGAACTCCTGAGTTCATAAAGTCTCCCTTTGGGGGTGTGGCTAAGGCAGAGCACCCTAATAGGATCGCTGGGAGGGATCGTGCAGCTCTAGGATGCTGCTCCCACCAACCCTCAGAGTGTCTGGAGTCCAGGAACCTCCTCTCGCCCTTGGGTTCCTCCTCGATCCTGCCAGCATCCATGTGATGAACTTCTGTGTCCTGTGTGCTGTATTCGGGGAGCGGTGCTTTGGGGATCAGCTTCTAAATGCAGAGTGGATACCCTGCTATTTCTCCTGGGTCCTCTCCCCATCCCCGCCCCTTTCTGGGCCCTTGCTGTCCTGTAGTCTTGTTGGACCTCTCTCTCTAACTGTAACATGAAAAGTTACCCCGCACCTAATGACCTCAAGGTGAAGGCACGAGGCTCACTTAGTGCTGTAGCGTTCTCTAAGACATCGGAGAAAGTAGTCCCTATGACTCCCTGGGGATGCCCTCAGTCAACGGGAACTCCAAAAGTCATCCATCCTGGAATTGCTTCCCCCTAATGCTGAGGCCCTGAGGCTACAGAGAGGGGGAGCAGGAAAGCCAGGCTCAGTACCAGCTCTCCCAGCTCAAGGGCAAGGAGCACAGAGCCTCTAGGACAAACAGCATCATAGAGAAGGAGGGCAGAGAGAAGGGCCCCTCCCTCAGCCCCAGATCTACGTCTTGAGCCCTACTATGCAGCAGGGAACAAGGTAAGAGGATGGTTCAAGGGGGAACAGAAGTGGAGCAGCAGAGGAACTCCAGGAGGCCGGGTCTAGATTCTCCTCCTCTCCCTTGTTCGGGTATCTTCTTGTTGGTCCGTCTGCTGGGGCCCTTAAATATCACCCTGTCAGACCCATGCCCTTGACTCTAGCCATGGCTCCTTTCTTCCTTCCTCCTCCCTTTCCCTTCCCATTCCCCCCTCCTCTTCTCTTTGTCTCCTTTCTTTAGTTTTTGAGACAGTGTGTCTCTTTGTAGCACAAATGTCTTAGAACTCTCTGAGTACCCCACCCTGGCTGCAAACTCAAGACACTCCTGCCTCAACCTGTGTGGTTCTGGGAATCCAGGTATCCCCATGACCTCTTCTCCTGACTCCTTCTTAACTAACCAGGCAGGCCCGTTGCCAGGAAATCTGCCTTTTCCTTGCTGCTAAGGAAGGCCATAGCCACGATGCCGAGTCGGAAGACACTGGCCTGACTCTCCAATACTGCAGTCCAGGTAGCGACAAGGGTTGGGTAGTGTGGGATAGAGGGACAAAGGGTTTGAAAGAGTCAGAACTCTGAGATCTGTAGGCAGATGGCTCCTCTGGGAGCTGGCAGGTGGGGCTTCAACAGGGCTGTGACCCCATCTAAAGAGGTGTCCCCTTGAGGTGGGTTGAATTAGGAGACCTCGCCAGTTGTCCTCTGTGGTTGTGAGTGCTATGGAAAATGGACAGAGTAAAGAAGGCCTGATATTCCGATCAAGGCCAGAAGAGAGGACTCCAATAAGGCAGCATTTGAGTAGAAGCCAAAAAGGGTTTTCAGGAGCCTGTAGCATGGACCACCAGGGTAAAATATTCCAGAAGAACAAGTCAGCAGGAGCAAAGGCCCTGAGCAGTCGAAGGGTGTAGGAAGCATAGCAAAGAAGTCATCTAACCTAAGCTGAATATGGGAGAGAGAAGTGACCCTGAGTTTGGAGAGGGAGCCAGGAGCAGTTCATGTAGGCCTATGGGCCTTGTGAAGATAAGGGTTTTCACTTGGACATAAGAACCTATGGAGGATTTAGGGCAAAGGTCAAGCATGGTCTTATCTTAAAACCCACTGTGGTTGGGAATGCATTGTGGATACGCTTGAAGGCAGAGGCACGGTGTTGGAAGTGGGGGGGGGGAGTCAAGGGTGAGGCTCCAGGAGGTCATTCTTGCTCCCCAGGTCAGATAATTGTCCCAAGGGGTGCATTCTGCTCCCAGGCTCACAGAGGCCCTGGAGCCCAGCAGGGGAAGGACAGTCTCTGGCCTCGCCCACTGCCCCCACTCGGGAGTGGCTACACAGAGAGACCACGTGCATACCTCCCGCACCTCCATGCCTTACCTGACACCAGTTCGCCACGGTAGCCCTGCTTGACAAGGGAGAAGACGAGCCTTGGCTGGTGTGCACAGTCTATGCATGCCTGCACTGCCTGCTGCAGGACAGCTGCAGGCCGCTCAGGCCCCAGGCGCTCAGGAAGCTGCTGCAGCTTCCTCCTCTCCAGATAGGGCCCTGCATCAGCCTGCTTGTTAATGTAGAGGCACACTGTGGGCGCAGAGAAGAGCGGAAGTAAGATGTCTAGCAAGGTAGAAAGGCTAAAAAGACTGTACTTCTCAATTGTCAGAACGTGTTCGAGCATGACCTCCTGGTAGTGGGCAGAGGGACAGCTGGGTGCTCTCTAACTGGGTAAAACTCTACAGACGACAATTACTCTGGCTCACATTGACGGTGTATATAAAAGTATTTCCATCTCAGTAGCTCTGGGACCAAATCTTCCTATGCTCCTCCAAGGACCGCAGGTCATTTCCCTGTGAGCTTGCACCAATAAAAAACATGGCATGAGCCAGGCAGTAGTGGCGCACACCTTTAATCCCCGCACTCGGGAGGCAGAGGCAGGCGGATCTCTGTGAGTTCGAGGCCAGCCTGGTCTACAAGAGCTAGTTCCAGGACAGGCTCCAAAGCTACAGAGAAACTTTGTCTCAAACAAACAAAACAAAACAAAACATCAAAACCATGGTGGGACACTAACCACTTAGAGGCAGTATGATGCTCCAACAGGATTGCTGCCTATAACGTCAGGAAGGAATAGTCAAAACCCCACACTTCAAATATTTTAAAAAATATTTTTATTTTTAAAATAAATGTGTGGGGATGTGTTATGTCTGTGTACCGTGAGCCCTGGGATCTGGTGTCAGGTCCTACAGAACTAGAGTTACAGATAGTTATGGGCTACTGTGATGTAGGAGGTTCTTCTGTTCATGTGTTGCTTTCATTGGATAATCAATAAAGAAACTGCCTTGGCCTAGCTGATAGGGCGGAACTTAGGTATGTGGAGGAGACAGACCTGAATTCTGGGAAGAAGAAAGCAGAGTCAGAGAACCACTATGGAGCCGCCAGAATCAGACATATTGAATCTTTCCCCGTAAGCCACGACCTTGTGGTGATATACAGATTAATAGAAATGGGTTTAATCAAGATGTGAGAGTTATCCAATAAGGGGCCACGCGGTGATTTAATTAATACAATTTCTGTGTGGTTATTTTGGGTGTAAGCTAGCTGGGCAGCCAGGATGAAAAGCAGGCCCTCTCTCCATCAACACTACGTGTCAATGCTGGGAACTGAACCCAGGTCCTCTGCAAGAGCAACATCTCAACCACTGAGCCATCTCTGCAGTTCCAAATTCCCCACGCTTTTAAGATACTATATCTCATCATGAAATTTTGAACATAAATTGTGTTCATTTACATTTTAACTATGTTAATGGTTATGTATTAATGTATTTTAATAGGTAAGTATCATATTTATATAATACAAATCTACAGGAAAATGTCAGAATGTCTCTGAAACTGGTTTTCCATGTTCAGTAAATTTTCAGCAGATCACAGTGGGGAATTTTATGAATTTTTTACATTGTGGGGCGTGTGTGTGTGTGTGTGTGTGTGTGTGCGTGTGTGTGCACACTAGTGCATGTGTGGTACACATATGTGGGGACCCAAGGACAGCTTGAGGGAGTCTGCCCTTTCCTTCACCGTGTGGGTTCCAGGTACCACACTTAGGTCACCATGATAGCCTGGCAGCAAGTGCCTCCGCCCACTGATCCATCTCAGGGGCCTCCATAAGTCCTTATTTAGAGAAACCGTTTCTACTGAAAACACTGCCCAGTGAGTCATTACTAATATGACAGTCAGCTGAGGGGCTCAAAATAGCAGATACAAGTTCAACTTAATTCTGTCCTAAGACAGCACCCGCTCACAACCATTTCCCCTGTAATTGTGGCGTACACACCTGCTCACAACCATTTCTTTTCCCTGTAACTGTGGCGTACAGACCTGCTCACAACTATTTCCCCTGTAACTGTGGTGTACACACCTGCTCACAACTATTTAATCTGTAACTTAACGAAAATTGCACAGCAGGTCAGCCTGACTCCAGACTGCTCTGATAAAATGCCCCCTGGCCTCTACTGCCAAGTCAGCTGTTTGAAGATTTTAAAATAACAATAAGGTTATCGTGACCTGCTTAGAAAAGCCCAAAGGTCCGTCTGTGTTCTCAATGCCAGATCCTTAATAAATGAAGAATTTCCCAGCTTGCCTCTTGAGAAAAGCTACCCCGGAAGTAAAGTGGAAATGCTATTTTCTCCCCTTCGGTGGCACTGTGAGGTTCTGCCTCATGCGTATTGCTGACAGTATAAAACAGATGCAAGAAATAGAAATTTTACAAGAGTAAAGTCAAACTGGATGTTAATAAGAGGTTCCGATTTTCTTCCGAATGTCAATTGCCTGTCCTAAGTGTCTGTCCTCCAAGATCGTAAGCATCTTACTTCAGAGGTCACTGTTTCGGGGGAATATTGTTTTTGTTTTGTTTTGTTTTGTTCTGTTCTGTTTTGTTTTTGTTTTTTGGTTGTGGTTTGGTTTTTCAAGACAGCGTTTCTCTGCATAACACTGGCGGTCCTGAAACTCACTCTGTAGAGCAGGCTGGCTTCCAACTCACAGAGGTCCACCTGCCTCTGCCTCCCTGCTGGGGTTAAAAGTGTGCACCACCACCTCCTGGCCAGCAGAGTGCTAAAGACTTTAGGAGGTGACTAGTGGGACTTTGGGGATGTTAAGTAATGACAGCAGACAGACACTTCCCACGTTTTCAAGCAAGTCTGAGTTGGGTTTTATTCTGGCTTTGCTCATAAGGAAAGGGAGGCTGAAGTGCTCAGAGGGTGGCTCAGATCTGCAGCCAGGGCTGTAACAGGGAACTTCCGGAAGTTCACTACATCCCCAAGGCTGCTGCTCTTACTTGTCCTCATCTAGGAGACAGGCCTCTGTAGCAGGCAAGAAATGGAGACCTTGCCTATTCAGTTCTCAGGAGCTGAGGGGAGAGCTCAGGCTCTGAAGATCCCAGAGAAGAGCTAGAATTGCTCTGGCAGGGGCTGCTGGCAGGGAAGGCAGCTAGGTTTCCTGGAGGGTACGTCTGAGCTGAGTGTGAGGCAGCAATAGGGAGACTAGACAGGAAGCTCATCCTAAATAGAGAAAGAGAATACGCTAAGACCCTCCGGACTGCACCTGGGGAGTGGATTCCTGGAAAGGGGCTGGGGTGGGGGTGGGGCAAGGCTGGAGCCAGCAGGACTTTTCAGTTGTCTTTACAGCTTTAGTCTTTACCTGACAGTAAGGAGGGGACTAAAGGGATGGGAGCAGGGAGTGAAGCTGTGATGAGGGCTCTCTCTCTCTCTCTCTCTCTCTCTCTCTCTCTCTCTCTCTGTGTGTGTGTGTGTGTGTGTGTGTGTGTGTGTGTGTGTGCCTTTGTAGCCACCTAACTACTGTTACAATTAAGATGAAGCTATTGGTTGGCTGATATCATTGTCACCATCATCATCATCATCAAAGAGAAAGAAAGATTGGAATGAGTGCTACACTATTTTGGGGCATGTGGTAGCAACTGGAAATATAAACACAAAACGGCCACACTCAAGCAAGCACACTCAGATGCGTCCACTGCTCTTACCTGCCTACTCCAAAGAAACCAGCTGAATCCAACATTCACAGAAAACAGTTTTAAATAACCAAACACACGCTTTCAGAGACCAGCTACCACACCAGGTTTTTCTTTGGATTGTCTCAGGGAAACTTTTCTTTTTGTTAGAAACAGGGTTCCTCTGTGCAGCCCCGGCTGTCCTGGAATTCACTATGTAGACCTGCCTCTGCTTCCAGTGCCGGGTGCTGGGATTAAAAGTGTGCACTGCCACACCTTGTAAAATATCTCAGAGAAATTCTTAGACTTATAAAGTAACTGTTAGATGAAAAGACACCCTGGTACTAGGAAACCATTTCCACCTTGGAGTCCATTTTATTGACATACCTGTGAGAGCCTGTGGGACCACCAAGCTGGGGATGGTGGCTGCATCCTGAGGGATGGAGCTGAGGTCAGGTTCTGGGGTACTCCGTGGAGGTGATAGAGCCAAGGGAGTCATGAGCACTGGGGGCTTGATCTGCAAGAGAGTCTATGTAAGCAGTGAACGTCTAGAAATGCTCCCCACACCACCCCGGTCTTTCCTGGGTGTCTGATAATTCTTGGCACTCTTTCTCACATCTGCATCTTTTTCCTGCTCAGCTTTGGGAAAGGAGCTTCAGATTCAAGTTCATGTGCAAAATTTGTAATTAGATTATAGCCAGAAGATAGCTCTGCTCTTCACCCTTACCTTGGTACGACCCAGGAAATGACAGCACCAGGGAGTGGGTGTCGGAACAAACGGAGGCACGGATGGTTAAACCCCAGGATTCCCCTGAGAACAGGATGCAGATCCAGGGCAGTGCCCTGCTCACACCTCTGTGCTCTGTAGATCCTGGCTACGGGGCTTCTGCTGTATCCACCCGGAGATGGACCATGAGGCTCTCCTTGCTCTCTGATGAGCTCACAGCATGCCAAGCATTCTCCAGGTTGCTGACTAGCTGTTCAGGGGTGACTTCCTATGGCAGACTGTCAGACACAATCTGGATGGGGCAGGAATGGGCAGCCACCACTGTGAAGGTCTCCCCTGGAACCACACGCAAGGAGATGGAATTTGCACTAACGGAATTGGCAAAGGCCAGTCAATGATACTGGGTCAATAGGCCACTTCACACCTGGCACTAGGTTGGATCAGAGTGATGGAAAGCTGTAGGGGGTACATGGGGACAGAGGGTAGGTGCAGTTTGAAGGTGGCATAAACCACCAGTGACTTCTGTGGGGGATCCACGTCAGAAGAATCAAGTTAGTTTACAAGAGCGGGACCCTAAGCATCAGGAGTTTCTAAAGTCTCAAAATGTTTCAGTATGTACACACCGTTCAAGAGCAATTGCTCAATCCCCAAGGTTTTCAACTTTTTCAAACAACCTCTTGTGGTTCTCATAACAATGCAGGTTTTGATTCTGAGTTCTGGGGTAGGAGTCTACAATCCTTAAGAGCCCCCAGGTGGGTTGTCTCTGCAAATCCACAAGGACACTTTGGACAGCCAGGTGCTATGTCCCATTGTTAATACACATGCGTCTACATCTAAGTTTCTTCTAGGCTTTTAGGATGGACTAATAATAGTGATGGAGAAAGAGTCATGCAAATACTGTGGATTCATTGTTGTGAATGAATGTCCTCTACTACTGGGAGGAGACACCATGACCAAGGCAACTCTTATCAAATAAAGCACCTAATTGGGGGCTTGCTTATAAGTTTAGAGGGTTAGCCCATGATCATCATGGCAGAAAGCAGGCTGACATGGTACTAGAGCAGTAGCTGAGAGATTTATATCCTGAAGTCCAACTCTTACTATTTGCTGATGATATTATAGTTTACATGAGCAACCCAAAAAATCTACCACGTAATTCTACCCATCAGGAGAACAAAATTGGAAAATTATGATTTATTTGCCTGTGGCTTTCAAGTAAATCAACATGAAGGTCTACTTGTTCCTTCCCTAGAATGCCTGGTGGTGGTGGTGGTGGTGGTGGTGGTGGTGGTGGTGGTGGTGGTGGTGATGATGGTCTTGATGGTGGTGTTGATGATGCTGATGCTGATGATGGTGGGAATGATGATGACCTAAAAATGATGATGGTAGTGATGATGATGATGATGATGGTGGTGATAATCGTGATGACAATGATTACTGAAATCTCAGTCTCAGAAACTACATAACAACCCTAACATCTCATGTTTGTTTTCTGTTATAGTTATTAATGTTGGATTTATCCACTGAACCTATTTCTTTTAAAAAAAAAGTCATAGTATTACAATTTCTACTTATCATTTCTGTCTAAATGAAGCAATCATAGAGATCAGATGAGTCAGATGGCTGCAAGGAAAGAAAAGCTTCCTCTGCCATGCAGTGGTGGCTCATGTCTTTAATCCCAGCACTGGAGAGGCAGAGGAAGGTGGATCTCTGAGTTCAAGGCCAGCTTGGTCCACAGAGGGAGTTCCAGGACAGCCGGGGATCATAGAGAAACCCTACCTTGAAAACTTATTTACCCTCTGTGGTGGTTTGAGTGAGCACAGCTCCCATAGGCTCATAGATTTGAAAGCTTGGTTACTAGGGAAAGGCACTATTTGAAAGAATGGGGGGGGGGCGGCACTATTTAAAAGGATTAGGAGGTGTGGTTTTGCTGGAAAAAGTGTGTCACTGAAGGTGGCTTGAGGTTTTAAAAGGTCCAGTCTCTCCCTCCCTGCTGCTTGTGGGTCCAAATATAAACTCTCAGGTACTTCTCCAGCACCATGTCTCCCTGCATGCAGCCATGCTTCCTGCCATGCTGATAATGGACTAAACCTCTGAAACTGTAAGTCAGCCTTAATTAAATGTTTTCTGTTATAAAAGTTGCCGTGGTTATGGTGTCTCTTCAAAGCAAAAGGGCACCGACTAAGACACCAGTCTCTACAGATGCTGGGATTTTAAAACAAAACAGGAATCTTCTGTAAGCTGTGGGCAGCACTGTGGATATGTCCCCAGGGGCCTATATACTAGGGGCGGCCTGGCCCTCAATACATTAAGAGATGCTAGAACCTTCGAGAGGTGATTAGGCTATTGGGGGGTGGGGGAGGATCACCTTGGGAAAGAATTGATTTTGACTCATGAAGTCAGTTAGCCTCCATGAGAGCAGGTTGTTTTAAAAGTGGGGAGACTGGCCAGGTATGAGAGCATATACCTTTAATCCATCACCACCCAGGGCTACATAAAGAGACTCCAAACAACAACAACAACAACAAAAACCGAGAACAAAGAAAGTGACTGCCCACCCCCCCTAAGTTCCTGCTTCCCCTGGTGACTCAAGGGCCCCCACCATGTCTGCTCACACTAGTATATGTCCTGCCAGGAAGCCTCACCATGTGCTTGTGCCTCCAGGACTGTGAACTAGTTAACCTTCTTTATCTCTGAGTGTGTGTGAGGGGGTGCATGTGTGCGTGTGTGTGTGTGTGTGTGTATGAGTTTGTATATCTCTGTATCTCTCTCTCTCTGTGTATGTGTGTGTGTGCATGTGTATGTGTCTGTGTGTCTCTGTATCTGTGTGTGTCTGTGTGTCTCTGTATCTCTCTGTTGTGTGTGTATATGTGTGTGTGTCTGTGTGTCTCTGTATCTCTCTCTCTCTCTGTGTTTGTATATCTGTGTGTGTGTGTGCGTGTGTGTAATCAGGGCATCGTGCCCACTAGGCAAACATTCTACAACTGGTTACACCCCAGACAGAAAGGCTCATTCTTTATGAATCATGCAGCCACTGCTCTTCTGTTACAGCAATCAAAACTAGACTAGAATAGGAGGCCACAATGTTTTAAAAATAGGATTTTTATAAGGGAGTGAAATACAATCAAAATTAACTCGGTGTTCATAAATTTAAGTTTTTACTGCCTAATCTAAAGAGCTAAAAACAGCCTGCTGGAGAGAACTCAGTAGTAAGGAAAGCTTGTAAGAATGAGGGCCCGAGTTTAATGTCTAGAGCTCACAGCTAGCATTTATGAGGGAGTCACGTGATTAGAAGAGGCTAGAAATGGGGGGACAGGGATGTGCAGTACTTCCTCTGTGACACGATGCCGACCTCTTCCTCAGCCAACACAAGCTGCTCTCGGGGGGCAGGAGGTAATTTGTCTTTGCTGTTCTTGCTTTCAATTGTTTAAAATATTGATTTGCTTATTTGGTTGTAGTAATATGGGGGGTGGTGGGGCTGTGTCCCCAGCACCCCGGCTGCCTGCTCGGCTAGCTTATGCCCCGAAATAACAACACACAAACTGTATTCATTTAAATCACTGCTTGGCCCATTTCTATCTAACCTCTTCTAGGCTAATTCCCACATATTAATTTAGCCCATTTCTAATCATCTATGTTGCGCTCCTAGGTGCGCTTACCGGGAAGATTCTAGCCTATGTCCATCCTGGGTCGGAGCTTCATAGCATGCATCTGCCCAGGAGCCAGGAGCATGGCATCTCTCTCAGGCGTCTGCTCCCAAGAGGAGAGCTGTGGAGTCTCCTGGGTCGGAACTTCATTGCGTGTGTCTGCCCGGGAGCGTCTGCTCCCGAGAGGAGAGCTGTCGAGACTGAGCTCACTTCCTCTTCCTCCCAGCGTCCTGTTCTGCCTACTCCTCCCACCTATCTTCCAACCAATAAAATGGGCCAAGGCAGTTCCTTTATTAGCCAATGACCTTCCTCCATCATTTGGTTGTTTTAATAGACAAAATAAAGTGTAATGTTCATATATTGGTTTCTAATGTCCTTCTTAATAAAAAGACTGAGGACTTCTAACAGAAATGGATGGTCCATTTCCTAAGACAGAGAGCATACAGAATAAGCTGGAAGAGGTAACAAGATATCAGCAAAACCACTAGTGACCAGAGTATCTTAAGGAGCAAGGTGCCCACTGAAAAAACTTCCAGTGGATGAGTCTGGACCACTATGAGCACCAGTGTAGTGTCTTATTATAGCACAAAGTATACACATAATAAATGTCCACAAGTCCATCAGCCTTAAGTAAATGACTGACAAAGTAGATAAGTAGAGGAACAAATAAATTTCTCATGAACAAACCTCCAATCTTCTCTAGGAGGCGAACACAACTCCCTGTCTTCAAGGATGGGATGTGCATGTTGAATTCCTTCTAAATACTGCCGTGTGGAAACAGAGGGGACACCTGACACATGTCACCTCAGCCACAGGATCCAAAGCCACATCAGCAGGGGTACTGACAGTCTGTGCTTCTGATATGGTTAGATGGAGATGTCACTGTGCCTCTGTGGTCCCCATACACACACAGTCTAACATCTGGGGAAACACTAGAGATCACAACTGTATAACCTATGAAACTCCTCAAAGCCGTTCACCATCAAAAAATAAGGAAAAGCTGAGCAACTTCCAGAGACAGAGGAGCTTAAGAAAACATGATGACTGAATCTGAGGTTGTGCTGGACAGGACCCGGAACAGATCAGAGAAACATTCATACAATTAGAATGAAGTATGGGCTCGATTTATGACAATAGATTATC